GGGGGAAACGTGGGCCGCGAAAACACCAGGGGGTCCTGGTAGTTTCTGTGTTTTTCAGAAGTAATGATGGGCATGCGGTCTAGGCGGACTCCTAGAGCGATATCGCCCTTGCTTTCCATCTTTTTCAAGTATGGAACCATCACCTCGAGGTTGACGAGGGTGTCAGTGTCCGCCTTGACCACGAACTTGGCTTCTGGACAGGAAGTTGCGACCCACTGGATCATTGTGGCGGATTTAATCGACAAATTCGTGTACTTGTCGGGGGCTGCATGCTGAATCAAGTCCCCGTAGACCTCCGCTTCCTTCGCCACCAGGCGCTGCAGCTCCACCCCGGGCGCAGTGCCCAGCAAGAAGAACAGCCGCACCCGCCGTTCTGCAACCATTTCGGCCCCCCCCCAAGTGTTTCGCACAAGTTGGCGCCCGTCAAAGTCTGCGGGCCCCGTCATTGCCATTAAAGCCACGAAGGGGGGGTCTTTGGCGCAGCTGACTTTGGGGGTGATCAGCAGTTCCCACTGGGTCTTCAGCGGCAGCGACAGCAGCGGCGCCTGCGGCTCCCCGTCCCACTCCCACGAACACGCCCTCGACACAATTAGATATATCAGCAATGCAGAAGCAAACAACAAGGAGTAAAACACGTGACGCAACACCACCCACCACGGCGTAGGCTGCTTCGCGGGGCACCGCAGGTTCAGGTTCTGAGCAGCAGCAGCAGCACACGCAGCAAATGCGCCTCTGCTTTAAAAACAAAAAACGTTAAACTTTAAAATGAACTTGAAAATAGAAAAGAAAAGCGCCGGAGAGGACTATTTAGAGCTTTGTGGCGCTGCCGCCACAGCCCACGGGTTCTTTAACAGTGCCGACATGAATATGGCAGTATGGGCATTTTGCGTTCTTCAGCGGATAAGTTCTCACCTAACTGAAGCAAGAGAGTTAAAGTGTGACAAAGTGAGATTTTCAAATTTGTGGCATTTAATAGACTTCCTCTCTATTCAAGTGGCGTTCATGCACGCGCATTCAGACAGCACTTGCGGGCAGCGGGAGGGCAGCCTCTGCAGAAACGCTGTGCAGCTTCCGCCACAGATTTGAAAGTGACTTACAGTTGGTTGCTTCCGCTGCTCGTGGGGAGGCGAAATGTGTACGTACACTTCGCTGGGCGAGTCGCCACGCTCTCCGCTTTCCAGTGGACTTCCGTCGACGGCAGCCTCCATGTTGCTGATTTTCAAGAAAGGGGCCATCGAAAGCAGATTTGTAAAGCAGCTGCAGACAGAAAAAGTACAAAAAAGGGTACAAAAAGCAGCATTTACTTATAGATATTTATCACTTCCACACCACAGTGGACAGCAAGACCCCGTGAGATGCATTGGGCCACGCGGCCGGCTGAAATGGAAGTTCGAGCAGCTGCGCAGCTCCAACGCAGACAGTGCAGCGCAGCAAGAGTTGTGGCTGCTGCTTGAGGTCTCAGGCTATTCGGGAGTTTGTTGAACATGTTTGCAACTTGCCTTCAAGGCTCGACACGCAGGTGCAAAACTCCGTCCCTGGGCCAAACAAACTGCCCTTGTGAGCCTCAAGAAGTTTCAAACTTCTAACAGTTTCAAGTTTTCGGAAAGACGAATGTTCAGCGGCGCCGGCGATGTGCAGCTGTGGGCGGCTCGCGCTGCCGCTTTCGCGAGCCGTCAGCACCAAAGCCGGCACAGCAGTGTGCAGACCAAGTTGAGCTTCATTCATTTAAAAAGGCGAAATATGATAAAGGGAGAAGCCAAGCCTTCGCTGGAAACACGAGGCGGAAAGCTGTGCCGTCCTGTGGCTGGTCCTGCGCCGACGTGCTGCAGACTCCGCCAGCATTTACGCCGATAACACAGTTTGGAATTCAATATTAAATGTACAACATTGAATAAAAACGCCAAAAGTGAGCCCAGAACGAGAAGAGTGGCTCCTGCGCAACGAAGAAAGCTCTAGTGCTGTGTTGCAGCGCATGCTGGTGGCGAATGATCTGTTCACGTGTTGGTAGGCAGTCTTGCAGCTGTCTCGCTGCACCTTTATGTGCTTTAATTAATGCAAATTTCATTTTAAATTGCATTTAACAACTTTAAATCAGGCGATAAGAACAGGATCAGCAGCATGCCGCGCCAACGCAACACCCAGGTCTTCCACCCCGTCACCGGCAACGTCTGCATTTGAACCGCAGAGCCTAGACCCTTATTTCCAACCCTAGAACATATATTGAATAAATCACCAACTTAAAACAGCAAACAGAAAGTCTTGATGATTTATTAGTTTGTCAATGGCCATCATTTGCTGCAGTGTTCACCGTGCCTGGACCGCGGCAGTGGCGAGGCTCCACTGCAGCGGAAATACCTCACGGGAAGCAACTTGAAGTGAAAAAAGTCGACAAAAAGAAAGTAATTTGAAATTAAAATAAAGTAGAAAAGAAGAAGATGATAAAGATAGGCAATTAATTCATCAATTGAATCAGAACATTCGCACAGCTGCGAGTTCAGTGGGCCATGCAACGGTTCCTGATTTGAACTTGACGCGACGGGAGAACAAACCAAACCCTAAACCCTAAACCCTAAAGCCTAGACCATAATCTCCGCCCAGACACATCCAACCCCAGGCCTGAAGAAGCAGGCTGAGTCCCGCTAGTTAGCAGCAAGCAAGCAGCTAAGTGGATCTGACTGCAGCAGGTTTCCTTCTACGGTTTGCTGCTGCCGCTGCTGCTGCTGCTACTGCTGCTGCTGCTGCTGCATGCGTCTTCAGAGCAATCCAGTTTTCCTTCTGCAGCAGCCACAAAACCCATGAACACAAACGGGAGGGAAAGCTGAACAGTTTTCCACTTTTGTTTTCAGTTCATTAAAGGCATTTTTTGCAGATTGTGAAATAATTGAATTCTTCAAAGGCTTTGAAAGTTTCAGATTTTGTTTGTTTGCTTTCTTTTGATTCCTTTTTTAATTTAAAACTCCACTTTTAATTATATAATTGCTTTTTCGTGTTCAACAAATGCAAATTGAATCAAAGTTGTATTTATTCATTTTTGCACATTTGAATTTATTGCAGAAGTGTAGCTTCCTCGAAAAGATACAGCAGGAAGCCTGTGGCCCACAGCCCTAAGATTTCAAAGCCCAAGCCGCAAACCCTAAACCTTAAAGCCTAAACCCTAAACCCTGAACCAGAAACCCCGAACCAGCGCGGTAAGAACTAGGCTCTAAACCTCAAAGGTCAAGCCCGAAACCCGAAACCTTAAACCCTAAACCCTAAACCACCGCGCAAGTTGGCGTGGCCCTGGAGAACTGCTACCGGTTCTAGAAAGCGGAACTGCAGCATATTTGAATGGGCCAAAATGATTTCAACAGAATATAAGAAATAACAATAATGAAACAATATAATAATAATAATAATTAATAAATAAAAATCATTTGTGCATTTTGAAGATCACACAATTCTTTTTTCAGCTTCTGCAAGGCAAGGGGTTTTAAAGTGCTGCCAGTCACGCTCTTCTCTCTTGCTGCAAGAGTTCTATTTGCTTTAAACGCGGGAGCAGTAGTAAGTGCAGCAGCAGCAGCAGCAGCGGCAGCAGCAGCACGGGGGTGTTTGTGCTGTTGCAGTTGAAGTGAGGGGACTTCTGCGGCTGTCAATAAAGGGCAAGACAAGTTTCAAATATAAGTTTTGAATTAAACAAAAGTGAATTAAAGAGTTTCAGATGAATATTTGGAGTGTCTGCTTTCAACTGCTGCTTTCTTGTAGCCACGGCAGGTTCTTTAGAGCAGCAACTCACATTTAATATCTGATCTTTAATATCTGATTTATAAAACATAATTAAAAGTAAATATGTATCTTAAAAATAAAAGTAGTGAGGCCTCTATGAGCAGATAAGGCTACACACACGTACGGCGGGTGTGCATACACATGCATTCGTGTACAGACACCGCGTTGCACATGCACAGCCATTCTGGACGTTCTTTAGAAGGCAAAATCTCTACTTTGTGGTTTGGAATTTAGAAGGAGTGAAGTGGGGGCTAGGGTTTAGGGTTTAGGGTTTAGGGTTTCGTCTAGGGTTTAGGGTTCGGGAGGCGCGGAGGCGTGGCTTGCCGACGCACACTGCTTGCTGCTCTCGAGCTTGTTGCAGGCTCAGAGGGAAGTTCAACTGGCGTTGAAAAATAATAAATAAGATAAAAAATAAAGATTTGGAAATGGGGTTTTATTTCCTGGAGAGGGAAAGGCATAAACCCTGAGGATCTGTTAACGCTCTGCCGTGAACCCCAAGCCCTCGCTGTCTTCCCAGAGCACATTTGTCACTGCATGCATGCACAGCCAGGCACTTAATGGAAAAATTCCCTTTATCTTCTTCAGATATAAATAAAACTGGTTGAACCTCGTAGGGTTCCCGATTTTTGGGGTGTATGTACACCTCAGATTATCGCGTTCGCGCGGCCTCACTGGCACAGTCGGCCGAGAAGGCAGCCACGGGAGCTGCTCGGCGCACATTTACAATTCCTTTTTGCGCACTTTGCAGCAATTACAAATCCATTCTTTTTAAAATTAGGTTTTTGTTCTTTTTCGCGGCTTTCGTTGCGCAGCCGTGTTCCCCTTCGGCCGAAGCGCTGCGGCAGTGGTTTGTCGGTGCTGGGTCTGTCGGCTCCGCCCTCTGAAGTCTTGAACTTCGTTTCTCTTTTATTATTTTGAAATATTAAAATTTTTTTAAAATAAAAGTTTGGCTTCGAGAGATTTCCGCCAGCTTTCCGGGGACAGCCAGTCGGCCGTCAGCAGTTCGATTCAACACTGTTCTGCAGCGTGCACTGTTCTGAATTTCCAGCAACTTCAGTTTTTTTGAATTATTTTTCGGATTGAAACTTTTGAATTTTTAATTATGAACTCTTTGGCCACGAGATCGCGGGGAAAGCAGCAGCAGCGAAGCAGCAGGCTGTGACCAGAGCCTTCAGGGTTCAGGGTTTTGCGCGTAGGGTTTAGGGTTTTGCGCCTAGGGTTTAGGGTTTTGCGCTGGAATGGAAAACTCCGAATTTTTAGTTAATTTCGAATTAAAAGAATATTTTGAGGACTTGGAGACGCAGACCTCTTCGCCATCCAGCAGCTGCATCGCCGCCCCCAAGCTCGAGAGAACGCCGCCGAACGTCAGCTAAACCCTAAACCCTAAACCCTAAACCCTAATTCGCCAGTTTGGTCGCGTGGGCGAAACTAATGGATCCTGGGACATTAGCCGATCTGCTCATGTAATATTTGCTCGCCTTTACATGATCAGTACATACTGCATAAACCCTAGACCCTAAACCCTAAATTCAACTTTTAGTATATATATTTTCACTAGTTTCAGCGCCTGAGCCCCAGTTTCAAGCCCCAAACCCTAAACCCTAAACCCTAAACTCTAGCCCCGGAAAGGTAGGCTCACTAACAATGCACAAAGTGTGCCATTTAAAGTAGAAAATTCAACCTTCACTACATAGACGTTCTCTAGTTTCAGCGCCTGAGCCCCAGCCTAACGCTCCAAACCCTAAACCCTAAACCCTAAACCCTAAACCCTAAGCCCTGGCGGTTGCGTGCTTCTGCAGGACTCTGGGCAAGAGGAGGTTTGTGCAACAGCGGGGGAGTTCGTGAGGGCCTACTGGCTGCTGCTGCTGCTGCTGCTGGTTTTGTTTGTGTTGAGTTTGGCGAGCGAAGTGTGGGGCTGGCAGTGGGCAGCAGCAGCAGCTCCTGCTGCGCTGCTGTCGCTGCCGGTGCAGACGCAGTGGCCGCTGCTGCTGCAGCCCAGCAGCAGCTGCAGCAAAGACCCCCCTTTTGCTGCAGTGCTGGTGCTGACAGCCCCGGGGGACTGGGGGGCTCGTGCTGCAGTGCGGGGGACTTGGGGGGGCGAGGGTTGGGTGTGGGGCCGGCGTTTGCGGGTGTTTTTCGTGGTGGGGTCGGTGTCTGCTGCTGCT